GTGTCAATGTGTGGTATGAAGTAACCTGAGTTGCTGGGACGCTGAACCTTGTGCCATTGGGGTATCAAATATCGGAATGGTTTCCCAATGTGGACAGTGTTTGGTGGAGCTCCCAGTTGTAAAACAGGTTTGGAAGCATGAGTGGCATCCACTTCCTAAACCACATGCCTCTGGCAACTCTGAACTTGGTTAAATAATGACAGTTATGGAAAGGCATTACAAGTCTTTTGTTCATAGAGTCTCTACGAGTTGTGCTCGACTCGACAGCAATCAACAACAAAATAGGTAGATCAGATAGCAGGTTACTGGCTCATATACCAAGACCAAGAGGCTAGAAGATGAAGAATTGGATGCAGGGTAAAGAGAACAAATTTCAGTAGAATATCTTAAAATTTTAGATACATGGCATACCTCCAAGGCACCTCACATTTCTTTTTTTTTTTTAATCTCAAACACTTCTTTTAATAGTTATCATGAATTTTAATGAACATTTACAGAGATTTTGGATTTCCATTCATTCATTGTTGCACTTTTTTCCCTGTCTGCCCTTCCCCTCTGGTTCATTCTTCTCTTTGAAAAGTAAAAGAAAAATCCTTTCATTATTATACAATCCCTCCCCCAAATCCACGCCACTATGCAGCCTTCATTCTGGACTCCTGTCATGCCAACAATACCTGATCATATATCCCTTTTAAACAGTTATCTCTCTTATCTGTTTCAATGCAGTATTCATAATTCCTTTTCAATTGGTGTACTGCTCACAATATATCACAAAATTAAGGATGATTACATAATAAGTGCTAAGCTGAAAATGTGGTCCAGCCAAGTTTACGTACAGGCTTGAACATCATGAGTTTCAGCATACTGCTCGTTTCAGTAAATTCAATAAATGTGAGCATGATAATTGAGTCACTGTCCAAGATCACCAGAAAAGGGACATGGCTTATCCAAGGGTTTTGGTCAGAACACCACTTTACTAAGAAAGGTCAGGACGAGATTCACATTTACAGTGGGGTTCTAATCTCCCATGACCAACAGATCATTACCTGTAAGACTAGTGTTCTGTATGTACCCTTCTCACGTTGCAGTTGAGAGGCCTCACTTTTTACTCTGTGCCAGGTACTATTAACATAGTGTGGTTGGCCAGGTGCCATCCAATGCACATGCATAGGCAGAACAACGAGGCTCTCATTAGACACATTACAGGAAGGCGTTCTACTGATACAGAAGCAGAAACTGATAGAGGAGGTTCAGTTTCCAGCCCCCGTTTTCAGAGAATGCACTTGGCTTCTTGTTATGAGGCAGCCCAGGCAAAAGCCACAAAGGCCACAAAAGCAGACTGCTCTCCTCCCATAAGCAATATAATGCTGTCATTGAAATTTGGGGTAAGGCTGTTAGGATACAATAAGAGTGAAATACCAATGCTAGATTCCCATATCACAAATTTATAAAGGACTTGATCAAGGATATAGTACTGAAACAAATGAATTCTTCAGTATAATAATGATCTTAAAATGGGTACAAAGAATAGATGAGAGGAAGGATTTGGTGAGGGTGTTTTATTTTTGGGAAAAGTTGTTACCACACTGTGGATGCCCTTTTCTTCCCGATGTAGAGGCACCCTTAATTCTAGAGAAAACAAGCTTCAGGACGGGCACACTGAGAGCCTGCGTTCTCCTCTCTGGAGGGGACAAAATGTTTATCCTCTTGAAGGCTGGAAAGACTAAAGCATCATGATAATAGGGTTGAGATGCACACAGTATTGACTTGTCCACCTTGTGAGTGTGAGAAAAGAATTTATAAGTTTTGTTTCAGGATCGTAAGTGGCCTTCCTTCCTGAACAAAAGCACCAGGAGACTATAGATAGATGGCCTGGAGGAGTCTGAGTTCCATCTTAGGCAGAAGAAGAAGCCAGAGGAGGAAGGAAGACCTATAGGGAAAGTGTGGAGTGTCAACTGCCAAAGAAATGAGAGCTGAAGGCAGCCAAGACTAGGTAGCCAAGGGAACACCTGCGTCTTAGGAATGGCAGTGAGGGGTCCTGCAGAGTTGGGAAATTTTTTGAGGGTTTACCTGGAAGACTGCAAGAGATAAGCTGGCTTAAACATTTGCCAAGATGATAGAGTGAAGCTGTCCTATAACAGCATGGATCTAAGGTTTCTTAAACTTTACCTCCTTTCCTTTCAGCTCTTAATAGTCAAAGCCCGTCTGCATAGGAAAGAAGGAACAGCTCTAGGCAGAGAAAGAGAGGAATATTACCAGCATTTCAGTCATTGTGAGGATTTCCTATACCAGTATAGTTTTGCCTATATATATATGTGTGTGTGTGTATGCATGTATGTATGTACATGTGTGTGTGTATATATATATATGTATATAGATACATATATATATTATTTTTATTGAGATTTTTATTGAAAGTTTACAGAAAACAGATTTCATTCTTTAATTGTACATTTTCCTCTCCACTCTCCCCAGTTCACTTTTCTATTTAAAAAAAAATCTTTCACTGCTGCATAATTTTCTCTCCCACAGACCCCGGTCTACTTTGCTATGTATGTACCTTTTTTTCTGGACTGTTGTCAGGCATATAATACCTAATCATACAGTTCTTTCCCTCATCTGTTTTAATTCAGTGTACCTTATTTATCCCCTCTTTTCATAGTTTTCCCTCAACCCCCATTTTAGTCCTGTTTTATAACAGTGGCATTATGCAGTATTTGTCCTTTTGTAGCTGAGATATTTCACTCAGCATAATATCCTTCAGGGTCATATATTGTATAAATTCCTTATTTGTGGATTCCATTGTGTGAATATACCATAGCTTCTCTATCCATTCTTTTGTTCATGGGCTCTTGGGTTGTTTCCATCTCTTTGCTATTGTGAACAATGCAGCAATAATCATAGGTGTGCATATATCTGTTTGGGTGGCAATTCTGGCTTTTTTAGGGTATATTCCCAGTAGTGGAATTGCTGGGTCAAATGGTATTTCTATTTCCAACTTCTTGAGAAAGCGCCATACTGCCTTCCATGTGGTTGCACCATTTTACACTCCTACCAATGCCTGTTTTAAAACATTTTCATAATTGAGAACATATATTATGCTTAAGAAATTAATTTATGTTGTTGCATGTAGTTTCAGTCTTCTTAGGCACATATCTGTAGAGTATTACACTGACAAATATACAATTTACTGATTAGTTCTAGAGCTGATGGATATTTAAGCTGTTTCTAGGTATATTCTAAAGGCATTTTTACACACACCCTTAGGTGACCATATTGCACATTTTTGTTGAGATTGGAATTGTTCCATTATTGATATGATTATGCTGAATTTTTGTAGATAATGAAAAGTGGCTTTTCAAAGGAGTTGCAAAATACTCCTATCAACGATCAACTATACAAAAGAGTTCCTGTTACTGCCACTTGCTTGTCAACATTTGATAGTATTTACATCCCTCCACCTTACTGTGATGAATACTGATTGTTTTTAGGGGAAATCTTGTCCTAGCCATTGGCATGTCCTCAGTACCCACCCTGTAGGATTGGGTTTTATTCTCTGGAATCTTCTTTCCCTTTGGGTAACGATTGTTTCACTTATGACTGAAACACAAGGTTCTAAGTTTAGCAAGGAATGAAGAATAGATACATTTCTGGTACATGCTGCTCAGTACTTACAAATAGTTCTGCTAAGTGATACAATGACTATGAAAGGCTTTAATCAATATCCTTATGAGGGGAAGTGTAAAAAACCTCATTCAAACTAGTTCAAGAGAAAAAAAAAGTAATTAATTGGCTCATGTAGCTGCCAATTCAAGTATCTCCAGGCCCTCAGACTGTTTTTTACATTTAGACTCTGCTGCTTTTCTTTTTGGGTAAGTACTTCCTGGTTGGAATAAGAATCTGGGGTAGAAAAAACCCTCCTCTTCCTATTTTCTGAAGTTTCTAACCCAAGTTGTTGGACTCCAATCTCTTTTGTTCTAATTTAGTAATTCCTTTCCTAAACACCAGTTTCCTTTAATATGTTTTTGAGAAACGATTTTTTTGAAGAAAATTGCAGTGCTGTAACATGAAACAGGGAAAATGTTTTCAAAAACAACATCACATACATTTTCAGTTAGCCTTCGTAAAAATGTTTATTTAACTAAGTCCCTCAAATTCAATGTCTAGTTAGTTCTGACTTATAAATTCATCCTCCTTTGATTTCCAAGACTATAAATCATCCCAGGAAGAGATTACTCATTTTTCCATCTCAGAACAGTTGGTGGATTTGAACCGCTGCAGATCATGTAGACTTTTTCATTAGCAGCCCCCTACACTCCACCCCACCAGAGGTCCCCTTTATTCCTTAGATGCTGCAGAATGTACTGTTGGCTTAAGCAATCCTGCTGGAAAGCTGTATTCATGGATCACATCATTTTAGGGTCTGTGAAATTGCTTTTATTGAACTGTGCTTGGGTATTATGTTACCTGCCTATATGGAATTTCTTACATTATTGTAAGATGGTACCTAGGAAACTGTTTATTTCAATGTTCATGTTATAGGATTTTATGAGAGAAATTTCACTCTGGACTCTGTTAAAAAATTGAATTGCTTTGATTTTTATCTTATGGACAATTGGACTTGATAAAACTGATCATGTTTCCTTCTTTGTATTGTGAGAAAAAATGACAACTAATCTTTTGGCTTGTTTTAACCAAGTACTTTAGGCCTGAAAAGAGAGAGAAAGAGAGAGGCATTGTGTGTGTCCACTCATCCAAATATATGCTAACTTCCTTGTTCCTTTATGTTTTCTTTGTTATGATTCCTTAATTAATTCACTTTGATTCCTATGTTCTTAAGTCCTTTTTGAAATAAAGCTAAGAAATTAACTTTTGTGAAAAGTTGGGGTTTTTCCATTTTGTGAAACTATGATTTTGTGAATTGAAAATACCACTTGACAAAATAAATTTGCACTACTTTTCCATGAAGTTTATTAACAGATCTTACTTTTGTGTTCTAGTTTTAGATGAAGGAGTTGTCAAACACTACAGAATCAGAAGGTTAGATGAAGGGGGATTTTTCCTCACCAGAAGAAGAACCTTTTCAACACTAAATGAATTTGTGAGCCACTATACGAGGACAAGTGATGGTCTGTGTGTCAGACTGGGAAAACCATGCTTAAAGGTGAAATGCACTAGAGCTATCTAGTCATCTTTTAAATGAACTTACCTATGTTGCATATTGAAGTATTTGTCATGTGATAATTACATGAAAGAAAATTTATCACTTAACTACCTAAGGCAGGAATAGGTAAACTATGGTTAGTCAACTCCTGATGGTCCTAGAATGGTTTTATAGGTTTTAATAGAACAGAGTCACATTTATCTACTCATTAATTATGTTAGTCTGCTTTCATGCTATACTGGCAATTAAGTCCCTACAGAAGATTGCACAGCTGATAAATCCCAAAATGATCACTATCTTGTCCTTGATAGAAAAAGTTTCCCAATCCTCGATGCTAGGCAATCACTGAAGAAAGCAAATACACACCTTTTGGATAAGGACATTAACATGCTGCCTTTGGAGCACTTAATGATATCACAAGAGTAAAAAGATACTAGAATATAATTTATTATAAGCTCTTCATACAAGGGTGTTAATATGACATTTTTGGTTTGTAACTGTTCTTGAAAAGAAATACCTTGATTTTATTTTTAGCTGATGGTTTTGGGGAGAGGAAATGGCATTAAACATAATTGTCTATATCTTTATTAATTTGTATTCATGTTTGGCTTACACATAATAATGAGATAGAATCTTTAGCTGCTTCTCAGAATTCAGACCTTTTTTTTTTATTTATTTTATTATTTTTGTGTGCTTGTACCGTCAAATCAGATCTGACTGGTACAGGAGGAGATTGCCCCTCCTTCCCCGGCAGAGCATCTGGTGGATTCGAACCGTGCACCTCTGGGATTGTAGTTGCAGCTTCTTGTCACTAGGCCACCAGAGCTCCCCTAGAATTCAGACCTTATATCCTGTCAATGGGGCAGCCAGACTTGAGTCTTATAACTAGGAGATCAATGAAAGCTTCCTGATGACACCTGATTAGAATTTTATGAATCAGTAGAAACTGAAGAAAATTTCATCCAGTATAATACAATAAAGTTTGATTTATGATGCCAAGTAGATATACAATTCTGGTATAAGTACTTTTAACATGGATGATACAGTATTGAGCCTGTATGAGTATGCAAGCTCATTTTGATAAATATCTTACCTGATACAGCAATATGATCTGGAGGAACAGTCAACTAGTATTGTTGAATTCTGGTCAGTGGAAGGGTTTACAAAAAGGCATATTTTTAGTCCAAGCATATTTTTCATCACTCTTGTTTCTCTTCAGATTGAATAAATCTTTCGCCTTTTACTAAAGATTTCTGTGGAGAGGAACAACTTGAGTCTTATACTAATTTTTTGAGGTCCTGCATTTGCACAGTGCGGTTGGCGCAGGATAGAGCAGGGTTTAGGGCTGTTGTGCATAGGGTTGCTATGAGTCGCAAACGACTCGACGGCACGTAACAACAACAACAACCTCATGTTACATAGTAAGCATAGATTATGACGTCTCAAAGAATGAAGACTTCTTGTTCCATTTACACAATGACAATTAGTTGGTACTTGAAATTTTATGATTACTGATAGAAGTAAATAAAAATATATACACTAATGAAAGGAAAGTGTGATAGATAGATAGAACAAACACATGGTACATACTACAGGGTAGGGAAGTTTGGAAGGATTTGTGTGTGAGTGGCACTTTATTGAACTTTGAATTTTGGAGGATTTAACTTGGCAAAAAGTCAAAAAACCAAGTGACGATGTTAGTGTGGGTGGGATATAGATCATGAATAGTGTGATGCTAGGCTTAACAAGAGTTGGAAGAGAATGAATTTGAAGAAGTAACGATTCCAATTTTCCCACAAATGTTGCATATTTTAAAACTGTAAAAATAAAACTAGCCTATTTTTTTTAAAAAAGGTAATTCCTTTGAAATAGACTAATCAAAGAAAATAACCTTATTCTAACTCTTTTTCTTACAAGTATTTAATTTTTTCTGTCACATAGATACAAGTCCCAGCTCCTTATGATTTGTCTTATAAAACCGCGGATCAGTGGGAAATAGACCGCAATTCCATACAACTTCTGAAGCGACTGGGATCTGGTCAGTTTGGTGAAGTGTGGGAAGGTCTATGGAACAATACCACTCCAGTAGCTGTGAAAACTTTAAAACCAGGTATAAAAATTTCAAAGGTTAATCGGCGTACATTGATTTTTATGAGCTCAATTTGTCAGTATAATTGTCTGAAAGGTCATAGGACAGCAAGTGCTGTATCTGGAACTAAATAGTGTTGTAGTCTCTATCTGGTCCCTGGTAACAATTTAATTCTGTCAGCAAAGCAATAAAAATATCCCCAAATTAATGATTTCAACATGATACCTCTTCTCTGGAATTAGAATAAATCCTCTACTGTTCTCTCTTCTCACCCTCCACCACAGTTTTAAATTCTATGTTCCGCTTAAAAACACTGATATCACTGAAAGTACTTTAAAACATTAGATGGAATCATTGAGATATTGAAATGACTGTTTTATAAAATACTATTTATGTATTGGTTGTTGTTGTTGTTGTTATGTGCCGTCGAGTTGCCTGCGACTCATAGCGACCCTATGTACAACAGCCCTAAACTCCGCTCTGTCCTGTGCCAATCGCACTGTCTCTGACACTCCCATCCCAATTATTCCAGTCACTGAATCAATCCACCTCATAGAGGGCCTTCCTCTCCTGCGCTGTCTCTCCACCCTCCCAAGCATGATGTCCCTCTCCAAGGACTCATCTCTCCTCACAACATGTCCAAAGTATGTTAGACAGAGCCTCAGAATCTTTGCCTCCAAGGTGCCACCCAGTTTAACCCTTTCCAGGACAAATCTGTTTGTTTTCCTAGCAGTCCATGGTATTCTCAATACTCTTCTCCAGCACCACAGCTCAAAGGCATCAATTCTCCTTCTATCCTCTTTGGTCATTGTCCAACTCTCTGATGCATAACAGGTGATTGCGAAGACCATGGCCTATATCAGACGCACCTTAGTCTCCAAAGAGATACCATTGCTCTTCAGCCCTTTGGAGAGGTCCCTAACTGCAGACTTTCCTATGGCAATGCACCTTTTAATTTCCTGGCTGCTGGTGCCAAGACTGTTGACTATGGAGCCAAGCAAACTAAAGCTGTGTACAATCTCAATCTCTTCACCATCCATCCTGATGCTGCCAATTAGTCCAGTGGTGAGAATCTTTGTCTTCTTGACATTGAGCCTCAAGCCATATTGTAGGCTGCAGTCCTTGACACTCTGCAGCAGGCACTTCAGGTCCTCCTCAGTTTCAGCAAGCAGGGTTGTGTCATCCGCATAACGCAGATTGTTGATAAATCGTCCACCAATCTTGACCCCACATTTCTCCTCATGTATTGTTTAGAGATGAAAATTGTCACCCAGAAGGAAGGCTTACTTTAAAATTCAGGGATTTTTTTTTCTCTTTCAACTAATTTTCCTTTGTGGTAGAATGTGCAAAAAATTATTTACTATTCCTATTTTGAGCCAGGTATTTTAAACATGAGCAAAGAATATTTATGGAAATGAAGTAATATTCTTAAAATTTACTAATTATATAATCTTGAGCCAGTTCAACCACACTGTCTGTCAGTTTTATCCCTAAAATAGAGACAGTAATAAGGCCTACAATGCAAACCAAATCTGTAACCACCAAGCTGATTCCAACTCATAATGACCCCATGTTGTTGCTGTTGTTGTTGTGTACCCTAGATTAAAAATTGACCCATAGCTGACCCTCCAGCAGGTTTTCAGAGACAGTGAATCGCAGGGGAGGAGCTCACCCATCCTTGCTCCCTGGAGCCTCTGGTGGCCTTGAACTGCATGCCTTTGGGATTGCAGCACAGCTTCTTGCCATAGGGATCTTCTTTTCTGGAACATTATGAAAGCAGATTCTTCCATGACACCATTAGATAGCTTCCAGCCATTCTGATTCGTAACCAGAAGTAAACTGTGTGTACAGGACTCAAATCCTAATGGCATTCTAACAGGGTTATTGTGAAGATTAAATTAAATCTTTAGTGGAAATATTTTATGTAGCACCTGACTCATAAGTGATCAGTAAAAAAAGTATTGTTTTTATTGATCACTTTTTTTTTTTTTTTTTTTTTTATTTTTTGTGTGAGTGTACCGTCAAATCAGATCTGACTGGTACAGAAGGAGATTGTCCCTCCTTTTCCCAGCAGAGCATCTGGTGGATTCGAACAGTGTGCCTCTGGGATTGTAGTTGCAGCTCCTTGCCACTAGGCCACCAGAGCTCCCCTGATCACTTTTTAAATTCATCACTGTTTGTATTGATTACTTTCAATAACATTGAACATTTTATTATCATCATTATAATTACTAGTGTGAAGTCAATGAGTGGTAGAGCTGGGATTTGAACTGACATCAGTGACTCTTGCACTGATATATAAGTGTTACAACCATAGCATAGAGTATCTACTTCAAATAATGTAGATAAGATTAATAATTTTAGGCTAGAAAGCAGTTCTCTGAGAACCTACATTATTTAACTAGCCCAGAATTTTTAGGTGCCAAGAAAGTTTCCAGGCAAGAATGTGAGCATTTGATTGCTGTGAGTTAGAAATATAAGGAACCACCACCATTCCCTGACTGTGCCAGCATGCCAGAGGCATCACGGCAAATTCATAGGAATGCTGTGGGTTACTTAGAAGTTTTAAAGTGTATATTTCTCTAATACTTCACCTGCTTCTAGTTTTAGGTAGTTGACAGTTTCAATATTAGGTCATGCTACCCTCCTTTCTTGGTTGCTGTTATGCACGGTTGAGTCATAACCAACTCGTAGTAGATTTTCAGAAACTTCCAGTGGATTTTCAGAGTCAGTAAATTGCATGGGAGGGGACCGTCCATCTCTTCCACAGAACAATTGGTGAGTTTGAACTGAGTGCCTTTGAGTTGGCAGTTCAGCTCCTTACCACTAGGCCCCCCCAGAGCCCACCTCGGGTATCATACCTTTGTGAAGCTGAGTTTCTAGGGGCTACTATGATCAAAAGAAGCTCTCTCTGCGCACGCGCACGCGCGCGCGCACACACACACACACACACACACACATCAATGTGGAATAGGAAATTATGACTGAAAGTTTCTTCAGATTAAAAAAAATTGTGAAGACATACAGTGACTAAAAGTTGCAACTATGGTTTCAGTAATTAATTGTGTTCCAATTTAAGAATGGCTTTAAAAAATGCTTTTCTTTAAATGTGTCTATTATTTTTAAGTACCTGTAAAATTGTTACTATACATATTTTAATTTGTTTCAATGAAATCACTAAGTGTTCATTCTCATTATCTAGAAGCATGAACAGGGAAAATATGGGACCCTCTGAAACTTAGCAAAACTCATAGCTGTTGAGTCAATTCCAACTCAAAGTGACCCAGTAAAACAGTTTTGAAGGCTGTAAATTCTTGTGGGAGAAGATTGACGCTTTTTTTTTTGCTTTCATAGAATGGCTGGTGAGTTCTAACTTATCAACCTTTGGGGTAGCAACCAATCACTTTAACCAGTGTGCCCCCAGGGCATAATAGTTAGGTGCCTGAAGTTTGGGGTTGGTATAATACAAACCTGAATTCAAACTTGACTCCGTCCTCTGTTACTTTGGACAATTTATTAAACCTTTCTGAATTCCCTCACCTGGAAACAGGAATTATAATAATTCCTACTTCAGAGGGTTTTATGAGGACAAATATGAGTCAATGTACATAAAGTATGTAGTGCCTTCTTAACAAATGCCAGTGTCAGTGAGATTGCTGACAGATGCCGCTCACTGAAGTGCAAATTTGCTAGCACAGGAGATGAGTCCTTGTATCTCCATCTGCCTGAAGAAACAGGAGAGGAACACTTTTAAGTGGCCAGGTGCCATGGGAGTGCTCCTGGTGAGAAGCAACTCTCCTCTCTCACTTTTCACAATCACTATGTGCATGTATTTTTTTTTATGTGTATGTATTTTTAAATTGTAATCTTGTTGTGACAATAGGAACGGATTTTTATTGTCCAATCCAATCTTTCTTTAAAAAAAAAAGGCAACTAGCTATCCATCCAAATATGGCTCTCTAAGGAGGGCCCTCTGGAGGTCAAAAGAGAACTAAAATCTGATTTCTTATATTAAAAAAAAAGCCACAATAGTTTTCTCTCCAAGAGGAATAATTATTATTGATTTACAGTGTAATAGCAGCAAACAGCTTTGGTGATTGGCTAAATGTCTTCACTTCAGTGGGGCCATTAATCAATCTTAGCAGCTATTTATTGCTTAGCAGACTACCACACAATAAAGATGAGCCTGAAATAAACTCCCACTGTAGCTCTGACAGGCAAAAATTAATATTTAATGTTGCATTACTAGCTGAGTTGAGATTGGGTCTTTCTTGCTGTGCAGCTGTTCAGCTGTGATCAGGGTAGCCTCTAAATTCTCTGAGCAGCCTGGGAGAGTCTCTTGACAGACTATGATTTCAGAAGGATGGTCTGATTTGCAATGATTTGAGTGTCTTGAGATCCAGGAATTTGGTAGTCATCCAAGTAATTAACATGAAGCATATATAGTATAGATATAAATTAATAACAAGTGTTGCTATAATTGGAACCTTCATGAATCGTTATTTTAAAGGGTGGTGTCTCACTATACCTATATTTTATCATGCTCTTGAGTTATACCAAGGCCAACATGAGCCAATATACAACAGAAGGAAACACTGCTCTGTCTTGTGCCTTCTTCACAATCACTGCTCTGTTTGGTCTCATTAGTACAGACTCTGTGCCCATCCATCTCATTGAGGCTCTTCCTCTTCTCACTGGTCCTCTGCTTTTCCAAGCATAACATCTTTCTCCAGGGACTAGGCTCTCTCATAACACACCCAAAGTTTGTGAGACCTCACTTTGCCATCTTCACTTTTAAAGTACATTCTGGCTGTACTTTGTCCAAGACAGATGTGTTGGTTCTTTTGGAAGTCCATGGTGTTTTCAATATTCTTCTTCACTAGCATCACAATTTAGAAGCATCAATTCTTTACTCTTCTTTATGTAACAAAGTTGTTAAGATTCTGCAGATCAATTTTGATTCTTAGTGATTCGTACAACAGAAGAACACACGCCTGATTTAATATTCAACTGATTGTAACAGTAAAGAGCAGAGTCCTTTACTAGGATTTCAATGACTCAGCCAATTGCCATTGAGTTGGAACTGGCTTATAGCTGACCTCCAGCGGATTTTAGATTCTCTGAATCTCATGGGAGGAGACTGCCCATCTTTCACTTGTAACTGGTAATTTTGAATCTAACACCTTTGTACTGGAGCACAAATTTCTCCTTACTAGTCCACCAGAGCTCTCTTATTAAAATTTCAGTGCCTTTCTCCCCACCCCCTAGTTTCCATTCAGCCACTCTTGATTAAACAATTTAATACTATTTGATTTTGTTATGCAAACCAATGATAGAGAAACAAATTATAGAAGCTCAGGGAAAATGTGATAAAAACAGTAATGGAATCATTGCCCCTATTTGTATTCATTGTATCTTTGCCCTCCACTTTCTCATCCTATGAAAAAGCACAATTGATGTGTTTAATTTTACCAAGAGTAACCCTTATGTGCCAAGGACAGCTAAAATTCTGATTGTGTTCTTACAATGTGGGTAGAGTTGATCTCACCTCAGTTAGAATAGCAAAATTTAATGGAACAGCAAACAATAAATGCTGGCGAGGTTGTGGAGAAACTGGAACCCTTATTCACTGTTGGTGGAAGTGTAAAATGGTGCAACCACTGTGGAAAGAGGTGTGGCACTTTCTCAAAAAGTTGCAAATTGAGATACCATTTGACCCAGCAAAGACACCATACCTGTCACCCAAACAGATACATGTATACCTATGTTTATTTTGGCTTTGTTCACAATAACAAAGAATTGGAAACAACCCAAGTGCCCATCAACAAATGAATGGATAGAGAAGCTCTGGTATGTTCACACAGTGGAATACTATGCTGCTTTGAAAAATAAGGAATTAATAAAATATTTCACAAAATGGATGACCCTGCAGGGCATTATGCAGAGTGAAGTATCTCAGTCATAAAAAAGACAAATACAGCATAATGCCACTATTATAACAGAGGACTGACATAAGGGTTGGGGGGGGGACTGAGAAAGATGGGATAAATAATGTACACTGCATTGAAACAGATGAGGGAGAGAATTGTATAAAAAGGATATATGACTAGACATTATTGCTGTGACGGGAGTCCAGAACAAAGATAGCATAGTGGAGTGGACTTGGGGAGAGGGATTGAATAACAATGAAAGAATTTTTTCTTTTACTTTTCAAA